TATATATATATATATATATATATATATATATGTATATATATATATATAAAGCAGCAGCAGCAGCAGCAATAGCAGCAGCAGCAGCAATAGCAGCAGCAGCAGCAGCAGCAGGTTCATGCGTGTTGTCTTTGTTAATATTTGTGTCTTTTTGATTTATTATATCTAAACCCTCGCAAACCCTAAACCCTAAACCCTAAAAGCTAAACCCTAAACCCTGGGGTTTACACATCTATATAAACCCCAGGACGCGTAGAGAATTTCTTTTGGGGCTTGATGCATGCATGCATCTCCACATAAAATTATTTTTTTTTCTAGGGTTTAGGGTTTAGGGTTTAGGGTTTAGAGAGCAGAAGGGGGCAGCAGGCCACCAGGCCGATTGCGGTGTATGTACACCTCAGGAGCTACGGGGTGTATAAAGTTTATATTCTGTGGAGAAAAAGTATTCAGTTTTAATTACTTTTAGTCAATTGGTAGTCCTGCTGCTGCTGCTGTTGCTGCTGTTGCTGCTGCTGCTGCTGTTGCTGCTGCTGCTGCTGCTGCTGTGGGGCCAATGGTGTGTCCACTGTGTTGGTGGTGTTTCTGTGTATATGATATTTTTTCTTGAGAATAAATAAATTTATTTAATTTTAATATAAAAATAAAATAAAATATATTATAATTTTAGTTAATATATTATATTTTTGTTGCAGCAAGAGCTGCGTATACACCCCAGCAGCACCACCGCCGCTAGGTGCTGAGACCAGCCAGGGTAGGGGCCCCCCAAGGGGGTGTGTTAAGCGTATAAAAGTGAATCTTTTTGTGTATATTTGTCTAATTTAAAAAACTATTTATTTTTTTTAATTAAATAATTAAAAAAATACATTCTTTACGGCTACACTGAGCCGGGAGAGGCACCAGGCTGCTGCTGGGGAGCGGTGCTGCTGTTGCGGTGTACATACACCGCAACCAGCAGCAACAGCAGCAGCTTCTGCGTTTCTCTCCGCCTTCTCTAGGAATTCAGGTACAGTTTCATTATTTTAAAACATCTGCAAGGTCTTAGAGTCTAGGGTTTAGGGTTTAGGCTCTAGGGTTTAGGGTTTAGGGTTTGGGGTTTACACTCTAGGGTTTAGGGTTTAGGGTTTAGGGTTTAGAGTATAGATAGAGGGTTGTGTGCAGTTTTTATAAACCCTCATTTGCTTCGTCGATAAGAGACACGTACGAGTCGAGTCACAAACCCTAAACCCTACCCCCTACCCCCCAAACCCTAAACCCTAAACCCTAAACCCTAAACCCTAAACCCTGCTTTTTGCATGCAGCACGAGGCAATGGCGGAAGAGGGAAGATCTCAGTCGCTGCCGACGACCTCTGAACCCCAGGCCTTTCGAACAGCCGCAACACCAGAGCCCCAGACCGTAAACCCTAAACCCTAAACCCTAAACCCTAAACCCTAAACCCTAAACCCTAAACCCTAAGCCCTGAGTTCTGGATTCGTTACACGTTTAGTCCATGCACTTCCTCATATTAGGGCTCTCTTTGTAGGGGCCCCGCACATGCT